ATTTAAATTTAAATTTTGTTTTTGGTTAAATTGGGTGGCCATATAAATTCTTTCAAGCAAGCAAGCAAAGATTTGGGTACTGTCCCTAAAAGTCACTCTAAACCTTGCAAATGAATTGGGATTTCATAAGATGGGAACATTATGAAAAATAAAGGGCATAATCATGCTAATTTCATTAAATCGATTTTCATTTTGGAGCGCATCCACAGCAACACTATTCCAAATGTCTGGGCAGAAAGGTTTCTCTCTCTTGTTTCAGAAGCACAAGGGTGCTGGCATCGGCCTGCAGGGACCCTTGTTTGAAGTATCTCTAGAGTAGATAGAGGAAGCAGGCACTTTGTTGATTAGTTAACTTTACTCCAAGTGCATTTCATTCACCTGTGCAGGTAAAAGCAAAAACGAAAGCCATAATTCCAGGAAGGGACGTCCTTTGATCAGTATGGGCTCACAAAACAACAGAAACAATACTCTTCCAATCCCGAAAATGAGAATGAAATCCTTACCGAATGAAGCCATGTTCCTGGGATTCTCTTGTATATCCACCCGGAATCAGTTTCATGGATTTGGGCTCAGAAGACTGTGGTTCCTCCTTCACAAAGCACGCAAGGCCACATCTTCAGAAGTTGCCTGAAGTCCTTGAAACAAAAACAGCACCTTTTTGTTTTCAGCACAAACACTTGTCAGAATCCACAAAAGGCTTGCTATTGTGTATTCCACCCCACAGCAACCCACAGAGTAATGTGTACTCTGGCCGGCAGGTGCCACTCCAGGGACGGAGACGTCTAAGGATTGAACCCAGCCATGTAAGTAAGTTCAGAACATCTGCTAACCTGCAAAGAACTGTACAGCGATGATTACTAAAGATCATAGAGGAAAAGCTCATGAAAACCCAAAGCAGTCTTCTTCAACCTGGGCATTCTGAGATGCATGGACTTCATTTCCCAGAATTCCTCACACATTATGGCCATTACTGAGAATTGCAGAGGTTGAAGTCAGCTATCTGGAGGGCACCCAGGTTGGGGAAGTTTACTCCAGTCATGGATTAGAGTTTCTATCACATGGGATGAGAATCAGGGTCATGTTTTTAGGTACTTAGGCAGATGCCATCAAATTGGGCCTAGCCATTGTGATTGCAGGGACAAATGGCTGCCATCTCCACCTGTCTCCATTGATCATTCATATTCTGTATCAGTACTTAAAATTTAATCCCAACTCTATACTTTATCTTCTGCTTCCCTCACCCTTGCCAAGCATTGTATTCGTTCTCTGGTTCAACATCTGCTTGCATCACACCACAAATATTTGGGTTTCTGTGACTCTACTTTTCTTTGGAAGACCTTAAGCTTAATTATGCAAGAGGAAATTGTGCAACAGTTCAGTAATTTTCACATTCTCTTGCACCTCTTTTTTGTTCGGGTTTTATATATATACCAATCTTTTCAAATCTCTAGTTCCCACAATCTTGTTTCACATTTGATGATAGAAAGCTCTTCGCTGCCTTTTCTTCTGCAGCTTTATCCAGTTCAGTGGGTATTTTATCTGTAGCGGGTGTTGGACTATCGCTTCTCAGAACTCACTTTCAGAAGGTATGCCCCTGGAGGAAGAATGGATTGTGAAGATGGCAGAATCTGCATAAATGGCTAGACTGACTTGTTGGATTAAGGACAAAACAACACTGACGTTTATAAAACGCTAGAAACCTTTTAGGGACTTTTTGCTGAAAATGGATAAAAATTAATTGGTGATTTCGGGATTCACTGATTAAAAAGGGTTGGGAAGAAGGGAGCCAAGATATGTAATTTGGGAGGGTGGAGATGGTAATTATGTCTATAACTGCTGCAAAGAAGATTGGAAGTCGCTTTTTTAGATTTCTTTTCTTTCTTTTTTCTTTGTCTTTTGCTGTCCTTTACTTTTTCTTTTATTCTTTTATATCTTTTTCTTTTTTCTATTTTTCTGTTTAATCTTGCATAAATTCCCTTTCAATAAAAATTATATATATATTTTAAAAAATTGTTCCTGGATACATGGTCTCTCTTTATAAATTTATCTGTCATTCTATCATCCTATTTGCAAAGGGTCTCAACATAAAAAAGCCAAAGAATTACTGGAGGACAAAGAAACCTACATTCCAGTAAACTATCACTCAATACAGAAACTAGACAACCTGATCAAAAGAACCCTCAATGATCTAACCAAGAAAAGTCAAATCACAAAAGAAGAACAGTGGTGGATGAAAAGCAGTGGACCCATCCTCCCACACTTCTATGGACGCCCAAAACTACACAAGTCCAACATATCTCTCCACCCAATTGTATCATTACCAGGGACCCCAACATACAACATAGTGAAAGAACTGACAAAAAGCTTGGACATCTCACAGAGGGGAGCGTATATTCTATCAGCTCCCTGCTACAGTGCCTCCAGAAAATCAAAGACCTAAAAATAGAAGAAGATGAAATTATGGTTTCATTCAATGTCACAGCACTCTTTACATCCGCAGATCCAGAACAAGGGAAAGGATCCATGGCAGCAGTACTACACAATACACCTGACCTAGCCAAATACACCAAGACTGAAATACCCACCATCAAGGACCTCATCAACCTCTGCCTCACTACCTACCTTCAGTTTGATGGACAAATATGCCAACAAATCAGAAGAACACCCACGGGATCACCACTCTCAGGACTCATAGCAGAAACTGTAATGCAGCGTCTAAAAACTATCACACTCCCACACATACAACCAAAAGTATGGATCTGGTATGCAGACAACACCTTTGTCATAATAAAAAAAGGAACAACTAGGGAAGACACATGAAACAATCAACAACATCTTCAAAGGAATAAAATTCACAAGGGAAGAAAAAAACAACAACACACTACCTTTCCTGGATAGCTCATGAGCAGAGGCAATGACGGCAAATTAGGAATGCAAGTTTATCAAAAAAACAACCCACACTAACCAAGTGCTCCATGACCAATGTAACAACCCAACCTCCCACAAGAAGAGCTGTGTAAGAACATTATTCAGATGCACCCCAGAACACCAGAAGAAAGAAACAGGCCACCTATACAACATCTTCCAACAAAATGGATACCCATGCAACTTTATCAAAAGGTGGCTGACCACTCAACCCACTACAGCACAATCAACACAAGCTATGAAAAGATAACACTACCATACATCAAAAACATCTCAGAAACAATCAACCACATGGCATTACTGCAGCACACAAACCAACCAAAGTTCTCCAAAACGTCTTAAGTAAACCAAAAGAACCAATAGCCCAAAAAGAAAAAACAGGAGTCACCTACAGCATACAGGGTAAAGACTGTAACAGCCACTATGTAGGACAGACGGGCAGAAGACTAGCAGAGCGCATTCATGAACATCAATTAACAGTCAGAAGACACAATGAAAACTCCTTAATCTCACAACACATGGACAGACTCAACCATAGTTTCAACTGGGAAACTGTGAGCA